CAAAATAAATTGTATCGAAATATTAGTTTAAACTGAAAGTCTGGGTAAATTCATTTTATCTTCCTAATGCTCTCTTGTAATGATTCGTAATACTTTTTTGATTATTTTTTAGGTTATTACATTTTTATATTTATAGAAATATACTCGTACAATAGTTACTTCTTGATTTTTTATTCGTTTTAGTCGAATATCGTTTACTCCAATATTCGACTTTCAAGGAAAAATATAATTTTAATAGGTTTCCAAGACATTAACAATCGATATCAATATAAAGTTTCTTGTTTCTCAGTCTCACCCAAAGAGAATTGGAATTTTTAGAGTTTGTGAAATTTCCGTGGCAGTTACAATGGCTTTGTTATTTTTCGATTATATTACGAAAGATAATTTATTAGGAAATTCCACGACGAACAAATTATATCTTGTATCAACACAAGCTAAAAAGAATCGGTGTATTATTGTATTATCAATGCCAACATCAGAATAAACAAAAAAGTATTTTCATCTATGGTTCCATCAATACGATTTTCACCATTACTTTGCGTTGTGCGATGTATTTGCAACCTTTTGTAAATCAAAAATAATTACACTATTTAGAATGTCAAAAGCCGGCCCTGCATGTAATTATTTTTTCAGTGCAATATTTCATATTTATTGAAAGTCAACATAAATGCTCAATTTTATTTAAGAATTTATATTGTGTGATATGCCCACTGACTATTAGTAAATAGGTTGCTTTCCTGTCATTTTCACTCGTTGGCGGCTTGCCCACACAAGATCAAAGGAGTGTCGCTTCTCCTTTATATACTGATAATTTGTATACGAGTGTTGACTTGGCCCATGATTTAAATAATAGGAAAACCCATTTAGTTGGAACATTACGTGCCAATAGGAAACATAATCCAAAAGCGGTTGTCGATGCAAAATTAAAAAGAGGTGATATGAAATATCTACAGGGTAATACAAAACTTGTTATCCGAAAATGGAAAGATAAACGGGACGTTTTGTTTTCAACGACCAAGGATATTCCTTTGATGAAATATGTTCAAACAAAACGTGGACCTGTTCCCAAACAATAGACCAGTATTGACTATAATTTTGCAAAATCTTTTATCGATGTGTCGGATCAAAATGCTGCATATAATTCCCCTGAGTTCCGTGAACAAATTGTTCAAATTATTTTAACTTTTTCTTCGTCTTCTTAATACAAACATTAGTAAATATTTGTATTTTGAGAACGATTTCCGAAGTGGAAATTGAAACGTCAATAAACGTACTTTAACCTTGTGGCTTATTCCCATTTAAATAGTAATTAATTTATAAGCTTTGTCCATAAAATTGTACAATTTTCAGTGACAATAAAGCATATTTCTATTCTATAATATTGTTTTAGTAATTTATATATCGATGCTTAAGATGTGATACCGCGTATCTGCAATTTTTGACAAAATGAGTTTTATTGCTTATTGCATGTAAAAAATACTCTGCCATATTGTGGTGAAAGCGCTAATTTGACCTATACAGTTTGAATGAGTAACGTGATTAGTAGTGACATCTGGTATAGGTAAGCTGAATATCTTTTAATGTGACAGCGCGTATCTGAATTAGTTGACATAGTAACGTGCTGTGGTAACATTGTGTTGATAAAGGTATGTACTTACAAAACTATAATTTATTTATAAAGAAACAAAAAACATCATAAAAAACTTGTTCAAAGTTGCAGACAGATGTTGTCGAATTGTGGTATTATTTAAAAACCTTTGTTATTTGCATCATAAATCAATAAACTTCGGCGTTAGAACAGGAAAACAGATACGCGATATCACAGTAACCACTTTTTTGATAAATAGGTATACTTTCAGATACCTGAAATCACTAAAGCAGTATACGAGTATAATATTTTTTATAAATAGTAAATTATTGTCCAAAGACTTCTGTTTATTTTAAATTTATTTCATTATAATTCGATTAAATATTTTAGATTACTGTTTTGTTCCAGATTAAAATGAGTACCTCTAGAAGTCGTCAAATGGTAACAAATGCAAGAAATGACGTAATAGTTCACGTTTTAAACAATAATATCAAGGACACCATTAAGTGTGCCATAAAAACAAACAATGAAGAAGCCACAGTATTGGAAAATACCGATGCGGATGAGCTGGGACCTACATTATTATCTTTGGAACAAGAGGTTGCCGCAGCCAATCTGCTTTTATTGGGGGAGTCTGCAGTAATAAACGAAACGTTTTCGACAGACATAAACAATGTTACTGATGGATTGCCAAAGGAATCTGATTTTGAAAAAGTGAGTAACTGGCTAAGGAATATTGACAATGCACGTTTAGATTGTGACGCAATATTAGAAACGGTTTCCAATGAAATTTCGACAAATGAGCTCTCCAGGGACAAAACACATCTAGAAGAATTAAGAAATGACGTTGCACTAAACCACGAAGGTATTTTAAATGAAGTGATGTCGAGCTCATCGTCTGTAATTGCTGATCAGATTGATGAATCGTGGTTGCCAGAAAACGAAAATAAGCAGATTACTCAACTAGTTCGGAAGAAGGCAAACAACAAGAAGGGGAAGAACCAGTAGCAAGAGCCGATAATGACGGTAACAACGAAAATAAAAAAGCTCGAAAAAGAAAAGCAGATATCAACGAATGGCACGATATTAAAAATAAAAGACTAAGACAACACGGAAAAAAATATATTGGCTGGACAAGGGTTGGAAAGACAGCGAAAAGAGGAACACCTAGAAATGAAAAACAAATGGGACCAGTCTGCTTATCCTTCGTATGTAAAAAATCCACAGTAAGGCAGTGTCAAGATTTAAATGAAGAGGGCCGAAAAGAACTTTTCAACAACTTTTGGAACAATCTCACATGGGACCAGAAAAAAATCTATATCGCTTCTCTGGTTTGCAAAAAAGAAAAAAACAGAAATACAAAGAAAGAGACTGAATAATTAAGGAGGAAAAATACATTAACCTACACACTTAAAACATTAGATGGCAAGATTTTGACTGTTTGCAAAAAGTTATTTTTGTCAATGTTTGCTCTTACAGAACATTATGTATTTAACTGTTTGACATCAGAAACAAAGCATGAAATGATAGCAGCAACAGAGGTAAATAATGAGAGAAGAAGAGAGAAGAGAAAAATAGCAGAGATCCAAAAAGAAACTCAATGCAATCATTCCAGTAACAGCGCCAAAGATGTATTGCGTAATTTTTTAGATTCTCTTCCGAAACTCCCTGCTCACTATTGTCGCAAATCTACAAGTAAATTATATATTGAGCCTATTTTTGGAGACAATATGAGCAAAGTATACCAGGAATATTCCAGAATGTGCCTTGAACAAAATAAGGAATTGAAACCAGTTTCAAGATACACTTTTGATTTAATGGTAAAAGAAAAACATATTTCCTTCCACATACCAAAAAAAGATCGTTGTGATACATGCTGCAGTTATGAAACAAATAATCTAGATGAGAATGTCTATAAGGAGCACATTAACAACAAAGAAAAAGCAAGGCAAGAAAAGGAGAACGACAAAGAGGCAGGGCATGTAAAACAATGCATTGACCTAACACAAGATCTTCAGGCAGTAAAAGTATGTCCCATGTTAAATGCATCGGGTTTATACTATAAAACAAAACTTTGCTGTCACAACTTTACCATATTTAATGTTAATACTCATCATGTAAGATGCTACTGGTTTACAGAAACAGAAGCTGACCTATCCGCCAATACCTTTGCAACTTGTATTACTGATTACTTGTTAGACCTCTGTCCTGTAAATATTCCTATTATTATTTGGAGCGATGGTTGCACCTATCAGAATAGGAATGCTACATTGTCAAATGCGCTTCTATCTTTTAGTGTCGAAAACAATGTTATTATCTACCAAAAGTATCTTGAGCGTGGCCACACACAAATGGAGGCCGATTCCGTTCACGCTCAAATAGAAAAGACAGTAAAATATAAGTCTATTTATCTTCCAAGTGATTATATCAGACTCACAAAGGAGTCGAGGAAACAAACACCATACCAGACAAAAGAGGTCACTTATGACTTTATCAAATTTTTTTCCGAAACTTTCGTATACCCTTCCATTAGACCAGGTCAAAAAGTGAACGATCCAACCGTAACTGATATTAAAGTCATCACGTATACGCCTGATGGAATCATCCAAGTAAAATTAGATTATTATGGTGAGTTTATAGATCTACCTACAAGACAGTTTAAACTATTACGTAGCGCTCCTATCAAAATAACCAAACACAAAATATAATCACTTACAGCAACTTAAACGTGTAATTCCTAAAGACTGCCATGGTTTCTACGACACCTTGCCTCACAAGAGTAAAAAGAAGAATTAACATCGTATTTGTTGTTTTATTGATTTTTGTATTTTCTGCATTTTTTAAATAAATATTTTAAGTCAATAAATTTCTTTCTCCCACACAAATAACAAATTGCAATATTTACATTTGGTAGTGATTACACGTAATCCTCCTCTAACCAACAATTAAACAATAGTGATTCTACGTATCTGCAGCTTTTGTTAATGAGATTATATTAAAAGAAATGATATACAAAATATTAAAAGAAATGATACTTGTGAGTCACCATGTTTAGTCTTCTTAGTTATCTTCAAACCCACTTAAACCATTCAAAAACAATTGCATGTAAAATTCTGACATGTTTAGGCGATAACAGTTACCTTTATGTGGTATGTTCTTATACAGATCATGATTGCCTTCAACTCTACTAGCTGCTTTGCATGCTTTCAAAATGAATTTGGAATGTGCCAGCAAGAGAATACAAGGAGTACAACATGAAATATTTTTTTATGTATTTAATAACATTTTACGAAATAAATAATTCAACAAGCCCTAGCAAGAAGAAATTTTAAGATCGTCAGAGTCATTTAGCAGCCCGTATTAAGTAGTAAGTATAAGCATAAGACAAATAAATAAGTTTATTTTAATTTACCTGATTTGGTTGCATAGAATTAGGATGCGGTTGACGCATTGGTTGTCTTGGAAAACCTCTCTGCATTTGAGCATAATTTCCAGGTTGTTGGGGTCCAGCTTGAGTATTTTGCATTCCAGGCATGTACTGATTAAGTGGGTGTCTAGATCGAAGCATATTGGAAAGTGCTTGTTTAGATTGATTAATTTGCTGCGGTGGACGTTCGAATCTGTTGACTAAATATAAATAAAATTAAAAAATATATTAGTACTTCAGCTTCTTGACAGCCAACATTGAGTAAGAACCCTAACGAAAATCAATCCATTATTTGATCTAGTGCAGCGACACTTTTGAGACAGGGCATTGACGGGAGTGAACGTCAAACGTTTTATCGTCACTAATAATGTTAAATAACACCAGAGGATAAACTTACCGTCCTTGATTATTTTCATTTAACTTAATTTAATTTTAAATTAATTATAAATATTTAAAGTAAAAAAATTGGACTCAGTATATACTTAAATCTGAAAATAAAACTTACCTTGCATTGGGGGATATCCATATCCTTGCTGCGGATTCTGTCCGAACCAATTCTGCTGTCCAGTGTTACCAACGTACTGTTGTCCTTGTGGTTGCATACCTGGCGCTTGTCCATATCCGCCCATATTATGTCCCATCTGCGGATTGTTACCTTGAACTTGCATGGGTAAACCAGGTTGTCCTTGAGCAATTTGGGATTGACTTATCGACATAGGATTAACATGAATAGCACCAGGAACTGTTTTGGGTTTGCGTGGTTTTCTCTGGCCCTTGCCACGTCCCTTACCGACGGCTCCTGCTGGACTCTGGTCTACTGACGATGGGGTATCAGCCTTGAAAATAAAAATTAATAAGAAAATATTTTTGGTATTAGTAAGAATACAAAACAAACACAATTTAGTAGACATTATATTGGTGTTTATCTATTCTATACAATCTATTTTTGAGATAACTTCCTGGAACCACTTTACTTACATATGACTCACACTTAATACACTGCACCCCAAAATTAACGCATAATTTTAAAAACCCTGGTAAATCAAATAATTTTATTGTTTAGATTTTTGTACTAATATATTATTGTTACCCCCGATATATTGTAAAATTTATCGAAACAACGGTAAAAAACGCTGATGTTTTTACCATTTTTCGCAAAAAAAATTAAAACATGCTAATTGTGCTTCATTTTATTTCAAATTTAATTGGGTTGGATTACTTCGTGCTAAATGTTTAAAGGGGTTTTCAAGTTTATTAAGTGTTTTTTCTTTGAAATGAACCACCAGCAGCAAGAAAATTGAAATTTGTCAGAAAGTGACTGTTTTTGAATCGTTACTCTTCGCGAAAAAGGATACACTCAAGTAGAATTCGCTGAACGTTTTAACGTCACCCAGTCAACCATTTCAAGAGTGTTAACACGTTTTTCTGTTACTGGAAGTAACTCGAGAAGACCCGGTCAAGGCCGTAGAAGAGTTACAACTCCTAATCAAGACCGGTTTTTGACACTTCGTATACTGAGACAAAGGTTTGTTACCAGTACTTCTCTACAAAATGAATTTTTGGATCGTTATATCTTAAGAATCAGCCAAAATACGATTAGAAGAAGACTTGCCGAAAACGACCTACACCCTGGAAGGGCACCAATTAGCCCATTATTGACCAGAGACCACAGAAGGCAAAGATTGCATTTTGCTCGTGAACATGTTGATTGGAATAATGACGATTGGGGAAGAATATTGTTCACCGATGAATCCAAGTACTGTCTTTTTTCTGATGACAGGAGAAACCGAGTGTATTGAAGGCCTGGGGAAAGCTACGCATAGTGTAACACCGTAGGGACTGTACAGTATGGCGGCGGCTCGGTAATGGTGTGGAGTGGGATTAATTTAGAGGCTCGTACGGAATTAGTTAGAATATATCGCGATCGGCTTACATCGTAAAGGTATATAACAGACATTTTAGAAGAGCATTTCGTGTCATTTGCACCATTTATTGGGGATAATTTCATGCTTATGCAAGATAATGCCAGGCCACACACGGCAATAATTGTGCAGCAGTATCGTCAGGAGGGGGTGTAGAGTTGTGTTATAGAGGTAGCACCTTTTATCGGAACGACCACATCGAGCGTCATAGACGGGAGATGGTTCTTGATAACTGGTCCTCATAAGACAGTTAACTCTCACTCATGGCTCCACGTGCCACACCCCGGGCAACTGCATTAGTTTGCAGGCTAAACTAAGTGAGGGTAGCCAGATATGGCGAAAATTGCAATTGCCGGTATAAGCGGTCTCCCACTTGCTGACCAACGGCTTCGGGCGGATGAGTTGGTAAGTGATAGGGCACTCTTTTGTCCTGGAGTTGAGAACTCGGCTCCGAAGGCGAATGAACCAAAATTTGGCCAACGGCATAAGGATGTATAAGGCAAGGGGAAACCACTACATTAAAGATCCCTATGGATTTCCCCAGGAAAATTATCATGGCTTTCGGTAGTGATAAGGAATATGTTACTGATCATGGACTTCGGAAGTCAAGATCCGGCAAGGGAGGATACTCAGAATGCAAGGCCTCCCAGGTCGACATCATGCGAAATCCTTGCAACAATAAAACAATTTTGAAGAGTAAAACACCTAAATTAAGATGCTTACAAATCGCCACCTGGAACGTTAAAAGTATGTACGAAAGTGGCAAAGCACATAACATCGTAAAAGAAGTCAAGAGACTCAAAATCGATATAATGGGTATCAGTGAAACTCATTGGACCAACTCGGAAGAATGTAATATCCTAGACCATGCAATGTACTACTCTGGTAACGATACCCCTAAACAAAATCAATCATGGAGTTGGAATAATCGTTGCACCTCGTTTAAAATCGTCAATAAAATCCTACACTGCACTATCAGACCGAATGATTCTTTTACAGCTGTATGCATCCCCATTTGATTTGAACATAATACAGATATACGCACCTACAGCTGACAAAGAGGAAACAATAATGGAAGACTTCTACGAACAACTAGAAATCTTAATTAATGCAACCAAAAAGAATGAAATAACACTTATAATGGGAAATTTCAACGCGAAAGTAGGACGAGGCAAAACAGGAAAGGTAGTGGGAAATTTCAGACTTGGTGAAAGGAACGAAAGAGGAGATCGTCTAGTTCAATTTTGCCAAGAACACAACCTAGTACTTACTAACACTCTCTTTAAGCTCCCGCACCGTAGACTCTATACCTGGAAATCACCGGCAGACTCACCTGGTAAAATAATCAGAAATCAAATAGATTATATCGCTGCACCAATCAGGTTTAGAAACTCCATCAAAGCCGTAAAAACTTACCCGGGTGCGGACGAAGCATCAGACCACAATCCGGTGGTATGTAAGTTTGAAGTAAAGTTAAAAAAGCCAAATGTAAAGAACATGCCCGAAACGCTAGATATTAGGAAGATTTCCAACAATAATATTAAACAACAGATGCAGGAGAATTTAAATACCGAAATATCAAAAATCCTTAAAAATAATAATAAACCGCTGGAAAAGTGGAGTGAAATTAAAGAAGAGATTAGGACTTCAAGCATTAAGTTTTTACTACCTGATAAGAGAAAAAAGAAAGACTGGATGACTGCAGAAATCCTTGACATGATGGAAGAGAGACGGATATATAAAACTAAAGATACTGCCAAATACCGTGAAACCCATAGACGAATAAGAGCTGAGATAAGAAAAACTAAAGAGAAATGGTTCTCGGAGAGATGCGAAGAAATCGAACAGTGCGAAAAGGTATACGACTATCACAATATGCATAAGAAGATAAAGGAACTCACAACAAAGAAAAGCTACAATATTTTATCGAAAGGGCTGTGCGATGATAATTGAAATCTACAACTAGACCCCGACAAAATAGTTAGAATCTGGGAAACTTATGTGGAGTCCTAGTGGGTATATACTGAGCAATGATGATACTGGCCCTTCTATTCTAAAATCAGAAGTGGAGAATGCTATAAAGGGTCTTAAAAATAACAAAAGATCAGGCAACGATAACGTATACGGGGAAGTATTGAAAATTCTGTGCGAAACAAACAGTCAATTTCTAGACTCAATCGTCAGACCCTTTAACAATATTTATAACAGCGGGGAGTTTCCTGAAGACTGGCTAGAGTCAACTTTTGTTGCCATACCGAAAAAACCAAAAGCAAAGTCTTGTGATCAACATCGGATGATAAGTCTAATTAACCACATTTCGAAGGCATACACCAAGGTTATTTACAACAGAATAAGCAAAAAATGCGAGGATAACATTGGAGATTCGCAGTTTGGGTTTCGGAATTCTCTTGGGACAAGAGAAGCACTTTTTAGTCTACAGGTACTAATCCAGCGCTGCAGAGATATGAACAAAGACGTGTACATATGCTTTATAGACTACGCAAAAGCATTCGATAACGTAAAGCACGAAAAGATAATTGAAGTTTTCCATAAGATCGGAGTCGACTACAGAGACATTCGAACAATAGCGAGTCTTTATTGGGGTCAAACAGCTAAAGTGAAAGTAGGATCTACATTGACCAATAAAATTGAGATCAAGAATGGGGTACGACAGGGCTGTATCTTGTCTCCAATTCTCTTTAATATATACTCAGAAGAAGTATTTAAGACAGCGCTGGAGGAAAGCACAGAAGGCATAAAGATAAATGGAGAAATAATTAATAACATAAGGTATGCTGATGACACTGTGATTCTAGCAAGTAGCATGGAGTTGCCTAATGAGTAAGATACAAAAAACAAGTGCACAATACGGACTCAGACTAAATATCATAAAAACCAAATGGATGTTAGTAAGCAAAACCCAACAACCACCACAGCAACTGATATTAGACAAGGAAAAAAATGATTAACTCAAATTGGCATCAAGCGAAGGAAATACGTATAAGAGTAGAAAAGGCAAGAGCATCGTTCACTAGCATGAAGCAAATTTTTACCTCTAAAAGCCTCACCCTACCTCTCAAAATTCGACTTCTGAAATGTTATGTATTCCCGGTTTTGTTATATGGAATGGAGGCGTGGACAATGACCGCAACATTGATGAAAAAAATAGAGGCCTTCGAAATGTGGGCTTACCGACGTATATTACGTATATCCTGGACTGAGCATGTGACCAACGAAGAGGTACTACGCCGGATAGATAAAGAGAGAGAGGTAGGAATAAGTATAAAGAAAAGTTGGAATAGTTGGGTCACGTTATGAGACAAAATAAATATAGAGTACTACAGCTGATCGTTCAAGGGAAAATAGACAGCAGAAGGGGTCCAGGGAGGAGAAGACACTTGTGGCGGCAATGGTTCGGATTGTCATCTGCTGAACTATTCAGATCTACCGTAAACAAAGTCAGAATAGCCATGTTGATTGTTAACGTTCGGAACGGACAAGGCACATGAAGAAGAAGATCGTCAGGAAGTTGAAATTCCTGCTATGGATTGGCCTGAGAAAGTCTTGACCTCAACCCAATAGAACATGTTTGGGACATCATAGGCAGACGACTACGACAACTACCTAATGCACCAAACACATTAGGTGAACTGTTTTTGCGGTTGGTTGAAATTTGAGATCAAATTGATCAAGAAGAAATTAGAACGATTATTCTCAGTATGAGAGATCGTTGTCAAGCAGTAATAAATACAAGAGGAGGATATACTCGATACTAGTACACGGTACTAGTATTTTCTTCAACTTTAAAAATTTCAATTTCGTCATTAATTTATAATGTTATATTGTTTAGATCAGTTGTTTGTTTAGATTTTTAGATTTATGATGTTATATTGTTAATTTCAATACATTTTTTGTAAAAAAAGAAAAGTTTTTTATTTAAGATGTTCTAAAACAACCATAAAGCAGAAAAGAACAAACAAACATTTTTTCATTACAACTCAAAATAAGAATTTTAAAATTATGTGTTAATTTTGTAGCACAGTGTATTAGTCTTTAAAAATAATATAGTGTACTACTAGAAGTTTTACCAATGTACTATAAATTTTGTACTCACAGGTTTGTCAGGAATTGGTTCTAAATCTTCTGGAGGCAATGGTGGTGGATCCAAATAATGAGCTATCGGTTTTTGAAGGTTATGGGTATGGAACTTTAACAATCTAAAAGTATCTTCACACGCCAAAGACTTCCTCTCTAGTCTTACTGCTCCAAACCAAGCCCAAGACAGAGGAGCTGGATTTTTCATTCCTTCGAGTATGTCCCAGTTGCTTACCCGCTGTTTATCTGTCACCTAAAACGAAAATAAATTAACATGTAACAGCCCAGGATCCGCTAAACAATTTTCAAAAAATCAATTTTTTTTCCAAAATTGATAGAAACTACTCTTAGAAATATTATAGAATTAGTCCCTAAGGTCCGCGCGTAAAAAAAGTAGATAAGAGGAGAGCGCGGTAAGCGATTAATCCGGCCACTCAAGCGGGACGGGTGACGACAGCTGTTTATTTGAACCCTTTCTTTGCCAGACCTGATTAGCGACGAAGTGCCACTGTTCCCAGGTTTTTTGAAGTGCCAGCAGTACCAGCGACGTATATATACGGTTGCTCATTAAATGCAAAGAAAAACTCAGAAAATGCTCTTTAATGTTTAAAAAAATATAAAACGAAAGTATTTTAATAACTAACTATAAACTAAATATATATGAAATAAATTGCTTGTCATTGTTGTTAAGCAAACAGTGCAACTACAAACTTTGTTGTTGGGGGCAATATCAGGAAAATGTCTACCTACAAGACGAAAAACGTTTAGGCACAGGCACAACAGTTGTATGTTTTGGTAAATGATACCTAAAAATAACATCTCATTGTAACAAGAGGAGGTAATACATGGTTGTATCTAAAATAAATGTGAGGAATACATGGATGACACTCATCCGTAACGGGTTTGGAACGAGAGAGGCACTGTTTGGAATGAACGTACTTTTTCAAAGATGTCGTGATATATCTCTAAACATATACTGTTGTTTTATTGACTTCCAAAAGGTATTTGATCGTGTTAAGCACTCTATATTGATCGAAGCTCTAAAAGACATTGGCTTGGACGGCAGATATGTTCGAATAATTGCAAATTTATATTGGAATCAAACAACATTAGTTTTAGTAGATGGTGTGGAATCACAAACTCTCAATATTAAAAGAGGAGTACGGCAGGGATGCCTCTTGTCACCCCTGCTTTTTAACGTTTACTCCGAAAGAATTTTCAGAAAAGCACTTTCTGAAAAACTAGAAGGAATACTTGTGAACGGCGAAGTCATCAATAATTTGCGATATGCGGACGATACAGTACTCCTAGCTTCTAGTCAAGAAGATCTGCAAACACTACTTGATAGTGTCGTTGAGAGTTGTAGGGAGGCAGGTCTGGATCTTAACATAAGGAAAACCAAAATACTCGTAATAAGTAAATAACAGCATATAAAACCGTCTATATATGTAAATAATACCAAACTTGAACAAGTTGATAAAATCGTCTACCTTGGACAGCAATTAAATTGTAACGCAGAAAATCACGGCGAAATTAGATCCAGGATAGAGCAGGCTAGAGCTGCTTTTAGAAGGATGTCCAAGGTGTTATGTAACAGAGACCTAAAATTGGCATTAAGGATCCGCCTACTTCGCTGCTACGTATTCTCGGTCTTACTTTATGGTGTCGAGTCCTGGACTGTGAATAAAATCGATCTAAATCGCCTTGAGGCTTTCGAAATGTGGTGCTATAGAAGAATTTTAAAAGTTTCCTGGGAGGAGAAGATTCGTAACTCCACAATACTAGAACGTCTCAGCAAGACTGCTGAGAACATAAAAAGCACCTAGCAGAGAAAGCTGGAGTATTTCGGACATGTAATGAGAGGTCCCAAATATAGGTTGCGACAAAATATCATGCAAGGAAAAATAGCCGGCAAACGCAGTCCAGGGCGAAGAACCTCATGGTTGAAGAACCTCCGAGATTGGTATGGTGTTGATACAAGCATGATATTTAGGGTGGCAGTGAATAAAATTAAAATAGCTATGATAGTAACCAACGTTCTGAAAGGACATGGTACATGAAGAAGAAGATTGTAACAAGATAATTTCTAGATTAGATCCACATACCTGTTAAGAAGCTGACGAATAAGATTCAAGTGAAACAGGGCCAATGGTGTTTTCTCTGGGTGTTGTGTAAGGGTGTTGTGTGTATTGCATGTGCATTTAGAATAGAAAGGTCCAATACGTGAAAGAAGAGCTTTTTATACAATTTGACGGTTTTCCTGACGCTTTCTGTAGAACTTAGTAGCATGTCAGTCCTGTCCACTGCTCTCATATTCATAGTGTAATCTATTACACAAGCTGGTTTTTTCGTTTGTCTTTCTGTCTTTTTTAGCCAATTCTACCATTTTGTCTTGGTGCATGGTAGTAAGCATAGTGACCTCTCTTCGATCCTTCCATTTTAGTGCCAACATATTGCAACTCGACATTGAGGAAGTTAGACTGAGAGGCCGATATCCTCATAATAATATATTTCGGTATTTTTACCTACATAAACGATAAAGTCTAACATATAACCCGTTTCACAGTCACACAGAAGACACAATTTGATTCCAAATCGATGGCGTATGGTTCTTATAAACTATTTAAACTGCAGCCGTCCTTTGAATAGAACCAAACTTTTGTCGATTACCAGATTTTGGAATGGCGTAAAATTATTAGCAAATGAGTTTTTTACCCGCAAAAAACGCCTCGCACCTTGTAATAAGAATCCGCTTGAGGTTGATCAGCATTTTCAGCGAAGTGTAACATTCTCGGTATAGACTGAAAGCGATTCCGGGACATTACACTAGAAAATATGGGTGTATATAACAAATCGTTTGTTGACCAATTTTCTGTAAGTTTGGCTTTTCTATAATACAGCGATAAATGTAAAAAAAAAAATGTCGGTCAGATAGCTCAGCGGGCTGTGCGGCTGCCTCTCATTCGCTTCACTGTCGAATGGTTTAGTGGATGTGGGTCGAGCCCCAGCTCGGTGTACAGAAAACAAAAAGTCTAACGCAGCAGTTTAAAATTTTAGATGAATCTGCGGCTTAGACTAGGATATGCTGGGATCTGATCGGCCTATGGTGGAGCAGTACGGCAAGAGATAAGGGCTTGCGGCTCTGTGATACTCCTCCATAGATCCCTACCGGACGGGCGTAACGCCTAAAAAACCGGATATATATATATATATATATATATATATATATATATATATATATATATAAATGTAAAAAATTCATTTTCTGTAAGTGGAGACCAAGCAATCGTTTTATTTTTGCAAAATTCATTTTTCTTTTCGCTGCAGCAAAATTATTTGTTTCGTGTATAATTAAATTAACGGTACCTGGATTTAGAAAAGAAAGAAAACAATCTATTTCCCTGGCAGGATCTCAATATTGTCTAAATGGGCACCTGAATTTGTGTCATCAAACTCGTACACGACAGGAAAAAATTTCTGTTTATCCCACTGTATACTAAAATCATCCGCTAAAGCTCTTTTGCTTTCATTTCTCAATGTATCTGCAACCACAACTTCGGCTTCGTCCTTATCAGCACCTTCATTTTCATAAATAAAGTACATTCATTCGGCAAATTCCCAACTGTAAACAAACGCACGTATTGATATTCGCCATCCCATTCGTCAAGAGGCTATTAAATATAATTTATTGCCTTAAGCCAGACGGATTCTCATTTTACATGTCCAAACTTGCCAGCATGTTTAAATTAAAATTGTGGCGCGTTGGTTTTTAAGTTACTATATTGTGTGGTATATGTTATAGTTTTTGTTAAATTATTTATTGGTCGTGATATTTTTTAGAGTTTAAAAGTGTTTAGTATTCAGTTTTATAATGTGTAGTAAACTTTTAGTGTCCAAAAACAAAGTATTTGATAATCAAAAGTAAAAATAGCTTGCAGTAATCACTTTAATAAAGGTAAGAGAAACCAATATTTTAATTTATCGATGTTTCGAAAAGTTTTATTTCCTTTTTAGTCTATTTATTTCCTGAATGTTAAAAAACATGCGTTCAAAATAAGTCCAGAATTGAATAAACTGACTAATTCTAAGCAACTTTTATTTTATATAGTTTTTGCACAAAGTCAATACTTATCGAGTTATTTGCGAGTGAATATGATCATTTTTCAGTAAAAAAAAAACACGTTTTTATATACAGAATGCAGTTTCATTACCAATATTTTCGATGATGCTAGTTTTATTACAATACATATTATTTTTCCCTAGGCTATTTTGACATTCTCTCAATCAACTAAGTACATTAACTTATTGAAGATAAATAGAATAACAAAAATGTCAAGCACTGATACAGCCGATGAACTCCTTGATATTGATTTAACCCTCACTTCACCCAAAAAAAAACCAGCAAATGGACATTTTGAGGTTAAAACGAAGGAAATTATTATAAATGTATCTATATGCAGGAGAACCCCACAATGTCGAAAAGTGCGATTTCTATTAGAGTAGCAGATAAAACAGATAATGATATTGTTCTTCCATTATTTATTTTAGAGTGCGCATGTTCATTTTATTTAACAAATACTGTTACTTTTTATCTATTGTAGGTGTGTGTAACTGTAGTGTATGCAATGTGGTTCATAAATATGAAATTACGGGAACACTGTCGACACCAAAATGAATTGAGCATCGTAAAAGTATTGTTAACTCGCTGGATGAATTTGACAGAGAAGCAATAAGAAGAATAATCCATCAATTCTTTTTTCGAAACGAAATTTGTTATTAAAGATCCGATTTTGCCTAACTTCAAAAGAACTACGTTTTTTAAATTATAGAAAGAAATAAGTTTCAATGTCGTCAGCGAAACGGCATTTTGATGTTTAGACGAGACTTGGCTAAACGCTGGTCACAGCAAATCTAAAGTATGGGTCGACAATTCGGTAACGTCTTATAAACAAGCGTTTTTAGATGGACTTTCTACGGGGTTAAAAAGCCTGCAGATAAATGTTTATGTGCCTTTTCACTTCAAGTAAATTTTAAAATAATAAAATTTTCAGGAAAAGGAAAAAGACTAATAATCTGTCACATTAGCAGTGAAGATGTTTTATTTCAGAAGGGCTGTGGGTGTTTGAATAAAAAAAAGTGGGGACACCATGAAGAGATGGACGGTAAATCTTTCGAAAATTGGTTCAAAATATATACGGCCCCGATTAGAAGACAACTATATCATCGTATTGGACAACGCGTCTTATCACTCCA